CTGGGTGTGGACCTATGTAGAGGTCATCAAGCCAAGCTGTGGTGGCATCCCACATACAAAATAGAGGAAGAGTGGCACAGATGTTAGCTCAGCAACAGTCCTCAAGCAATAAGAGGAAGATTGGCAACAGATGTTAGCTCAGGGTCCATCTTCCTTACACACACACACACACAAAAAGACAATGAAAGATAAACAGGGGCAGTATATAATGATAAAAGGGAGCAGTATATAATGATAAAAGGGACATTCCACCAAGAGGACATGACATAATACTTATGAATATATATGCACCTAACACAAGAGCACCAAAGAGTATAAAGCAACTATTAACAGACCTAAAGGGACAAATTGATAGCAACACAATAATAGTAGGGGACCTCAACACTCCACTTACATCAATGGATAGATCATCCAGACAGAAAGTCAACAAGGAAATAGTGGCTTTAAATGAAATACAAGATGAGAGGGGGGCTGGCCTAGTGGCCGAGTGGTTAAGTTCACGCACTCTGCTTCAGCGGCCCAGGGTTTCACCAGTTTGGATCCTGGGCATGGACGTGGCACCACTCATCAGGCCACATTGAGGTGGTGTCCCACGTGCCACAACTAGAAGGACGCACAACTAAAATATACAACTATGTACTGGGGGGCTTTGGGGAGAAGGAACAAAAAAACAAAAACAAAAACTAGACTGTTGTTGGTGAGCACAATGCAGTCTCTACAGAATCTGGTATATAATAATGTACACCTGAGGTTACACAATGTTATAAACCAATATGACCTCAATAAAATAATTTTAAAAATTAAATGAAAATTCTAAAACAGGAAAGTACATTAACTGAAATTTAAAATTCAGCAGGTGGATTTAACAGCCACTTAGAGTCAGCTGAAGAGAGGATTAGTGCACTGGAAGACAGACCAATAGAAAAACATCCCCACAAACACCACTGCATCAACTCGCACTATCCCTGTGAGCTTCCTCATCCTGGACCCTCAGGGCCCTGCTCACCCCTTCCATGGACCCCTAGCCTTGGGCAGGGATGGGGTGCTGCCGAGAAGGCTCTGGTGCTTAGGAGAGACTGAGGGGGCTTTTTCAATTGCAACCTTGTTGGAAACATTGCTAGCACATTGGGAGTCCAGTCAGTAGAGTTCTTTGACTCTAATGAAATCTTCAGGAGCCTCAGGTTTATCATCAGGAACACAAGCGTGTTTCTATTCTTGGGCTCGGGCTAAAGGTGTGCTAATCTCTCCAACATCTCCCTTAAAAAATGCCTTTTTAAACAGTCATCTTTGCATTTGCTTCTCTTCTGAACACAGAGTGCGGAAAGCAGCTCTGAGGAGCCAAGGGGATTGGGGAACCAACGGAGACTTGTCTGTGACTTGCAAAGAGGGGCACATATGCTGTTGTACAGGCTTCATGTACCGTGGAACTCAAGTGTGCCTGTCCCACCCATGTGATGGGCAGGGACGTGGCCGAGGGTGGGGAAACAGGGGCCGGGCTGCTGCTGAGCATGACCGTGAAGCTGTTGTAGATTGCAGCAATTCAGATGGTGTTGTTCTGAGAAGTTTTCCATCCTGGGTTAATGGTTTCTTTATAATGAACCAAAATAAATTCATGAGGGATGGTGAGGGGCCACGAGTCTGGGTCATGGGCCACGGCCAGCACACTGAGCTGAGAGATGACTATTGACTTGCACAGGTTGTTTGACGTGAATTAAAGCAATGTCATAGCAAAGACATCGGCCCTTTATCTGAAGTAAAAGAAGCCCCTTTGTCCTCTAAAATGCTATCTGTGGGGCCAGCAAACATCCCTCCCAAGGGGAGAGGAGGAATCCTGGGTGGAGCCTGGCTGAGGGGAGGCATGCCTGTGAGGCCCCAAGAGTTACCAGCTCCTGGGAGCCTCTGGTCCACTAAAGCTGAGTGCCCAGAGGACACTTGGATGCCCCACAGTGTCCCCCATTGCCTCAGGACAGGAGGCTGTGCTGCATTCTGTCTGGAGGGTCCATGAGGAAGGGAAATTCTCTCACGAAGCCAGGAGGGCCACCGAGGGAGGTGGGGAGCAGGAGGTGAGTACCAGCCCAGCCCTGCTGTGTTCAGCCTTTGTCTGTGGAGAGCCAGCCCCGTGTCCCAGGCATTGTTTTAGGTACGGGGCAGTTTCATGGACAAGATAGATGAGGACTCTGCTCCCATGGGGCTTGTGTCCTAGTCCAGAGGCCAGCCCTAAAGAAGTATAAACCAGTAAGAGCAAACACATTAAAACAAACACAAGTGATAAAGGTCATGAACAAGATAACACTGGCAGCATTGTGGTGGTAGGGGGAGGGCAGGGAGAGGATGACCTCCCTGAAGAGGTGACATTGAGCTGAAACCAGAATGACAGGGCGGCCCCGGCTCTGCAGGCAGAGCGGAAGGCTCTGAGCTAGAATCGCACAGGTCATGGTAGGCACTGGCTTTCATCCTAAGGACAATGAGAAACCGATGACAGATTTAAGCAGGAGAATAATGTGATCTGATTACACATTCACAAGATGTGCTGGGTGCTGTGTGGAGACTCAGATTGTGGGGGCAGGTTTCTGGAAGCAGGGAGACCACTGGGAGACTTTGTCTGTGCTCTCGGGAGGACCAGTGTAGGGGCTGCAGAACCAGAGAGGAGTGCAGACTCAGGATCCATTTGGGGTGGGGCTGAGGGAGAGCAGGGACCCAGAGGAGTCTTAGGTATCTCAGACCAGGGGCGCAGTCTGGTTCCGCCACAGCAAGTTCACAAAGCCCATCAAACGTCAAGTGGAGATGTCCTAGCCGAAGCTAGAATCTGGGACAAGGCCCCCACCTCAGAGGACAGAGAGAGGCAGGAGTGTTTCTTGAGCAGGTGGAAAACTATCATCCTTCTGAAGGCCACAGGGCCACCTGATGCTCAGGACTTGACAACTAATCACTGTCTACCAACCCACAGTTTCTGACCATTTGATACCCTTCTTTCTTACCCTCCACATCAAATTTGTCACCAAGTCCTGGTCCTAAGTTTGCAGCTCTCTCCCCACCTTGGCATCCCTTCTGCTCCCGCCACCCTTGTCCCTTCATCCAGAGCCAACCTGCTCACCTTCCCTCCTCCTAAGCCCAGCCCTGCTCCTCACAGTGGCCAGAGGCTTTTTCTAAAATGCAACCTAGGCATTTCAAGTTTTTTGGATTGTTTTCATTTTAATATTAACTTCTTGTTACTTCATTTTTGGATGATACATTGTATTCAGTTCTGTGGCTTGCAAATTTTTTGATTTATACGATTTAAAAAAATTAACCATGGGGCCAGCCCAGTGGCGCAGTGGTTAGTTCCCGTGCTCTGCTTCAGCAGCCTGGGGTTCACTGGTTCAGATCCCGGGTGCAGACATACGCACCACTTATCAAGCTATGCTGAGGCAGGCGTCCCATGTATAAAGTAGAGGAAGATGGGCAAAGGTGTTAGCTCAGGGCCAGTCTTCCTCAAAAAAAAAGAAAAAAAAATTAACCATGGAAAATTTCAACATATTCAAAAGTAGAGACTAGTATAAAGAACTTTCATGTACCCATCACCCAGCTTCAGGGCCAACATTTTGAAGCAAATCCTAGATATCCTATCATTTGATCCTTAAATATTTCAGTGTGACTCTGAAATCTGAGGGTCACTGAAAGCATACGCACAATGGCATTATCCAACCTACAGATCCAGGAATGTCAGCAGTTGCCAGAGCAGTGTTCTCATCTCCCCAGCTGCCTGTTAAATGACTTGTTTGTTAAGCAAATGTTTGTTTAAATGAGTAAGGAATACATTGTGTTACAGGATCCTAATGAGGACTGTAGGCTGCATTTAGTGATAATCTCAAGTTTCTTTGTAAGTTCCTCCTCTCTCTTTCACTCTTCTTTTCTTGAAATTTATTGATGATACCATTCTTTGTCCTGTAGTTTCCCAGTCTGGATTGTGCTGTGTCCCCAGGGTGCTGGTGACCTGAGCCTCTGTCCCTTGTATTTAGACCTAGCGGTTTGATCAGATTTGAGATGCTCGTGGCAAGCGTCCTCCTCAGTGCTGTTGTGTTCTCTGATGCGGAGGCACAGAGGCTGGCGGTCTTTTGTGAGTTAGTAGCCATTGATGACAAGTGCCTAGGTGAGGGGTTGCAAACTGCTGAGTCTCAAATTCCAGCTGTCCTTCCGCATTGCTTAGCTGGAATACTCCTATACATATAAAGAGGGATTTTGTCTCACTAACCATTGCATGCCTCTGCGGTTCTATTTACACAGGAAGGGCAGGGTAAGTTCTTGATTGTTTTACTTCGTTAGCCAGTTTGCAGGCTAACGGGTCGTTCCCTAGCATCGCCCAAGGCTGACTCATGAATTTTTTACATCAGTATGAACTCATGGCTTTAAACACAACTGAGATGTTTAATCCATTGCAATTGTTTGTCTCATTAGCAGTTTTTAGACTTGAGAATTTCTTTGTGACTAGATAGTCAGTCTGTTGTAAATGATGATGGCCAGACAAGAAAGTACGTTCACTATAGTAAGATATATAACCTGGTGACTCAGGTGTACCCCTTATGTATGCTAGACCCAGGTTCCCAACCATTCTCAGTTCAGAGCACCCCTAGTTTACGGTTCAGTAATTATTTTAAGAAACCCCTGGGTCAAAAGAAATACCTGTTTCATTTATTAAATAGGTGAGTCCAAACAATTTAAGTACTTACGTCCTAGCAATTTACAGTAGACATTCAGAAGAATAATAAATTTAAAGAAAAAATTGTTTCATTTCATTTTTAAGTAACCACAATTATTATGAATGAATTTGCATGCCTGGTGGGCACTTCTGTTTTTGTTGGCTGAGCAAGATTGGCCCTGAGCTAACATCTGTCGGCAATCTTCCACTTTCTTTTGCTTGAGGAAGGTTGGCCCTGAGCTAACATCTATGCCAGTCTTCCTCTGTTTTGTATGTGGGTCACCAGCACAGCATGGCTGACGAGTGGTGTAGGTCCACACCTGGGATCCGAACCTCTGAACCTGGGCCACCAAAGCAGAGTGTGCCAAACTTAACCACTATGCCACAGGGCTGGCCCCAGGAGGGCACTTCTTAAACCTTGGAATCAGATTGGACACTGCCACCCTTGTTGTCTGTTCCACATTGATTTTCACACAGTAATTGCTTTTTCAGTAACTGCCAGAAACCTAGCTTTGCAGAGACGTGAAATCATGGAAAGGAATGTAGAAGATAGAAATATGGAAACCGTGAACTCCCCTGAGCACAGCATCCAAAGATGCTGAGTATCACTATCCCTCTCAAAAGTAAGAAGTGTGCTCCTGTGCCCTGCGAGTGCACTGTGGGTTCACTGTGGGGCCTCAGTGCACAGTTTGGGAACCACTGCTCTGTGCTCTTCTCTTTTCCCTCTGGATCTGTGGATGTCCTACACCCCAGGCCACATGTTGGTGTGCGGTTAGTCACCCCCAACCCCCACTGCTCTTAGGGACAGGTCACAGGGTCTCACCTGACAGCCTGTGTTGGGTTTTCCTTTGAGGCCATTTGTTCCCAGCCTTGGTGCTTAGTGGGTTTTTTCTTTATCCTTTGATTTCAGCCTCATCAGAGCTCAAGACCTGGCTCCAACTTCGTTGTGATCGGGAGCAGGTTTACTTTAACCAGAAAGCGTGGCAGACTCTCAGGGTTGATGTAAAAACAGCCCAGCCTGATCAGAGAAAGTGGTTTGGGGTCATTTCCCTGCAGATGTGACTTTGAAAAACACCGGAAGTGCTGGGCTTCCTCCCTGGCACCCACTCTGCGTCTCTGGTGTGGGGCTGAGCACAGGAGGGCTGACTCCTCAGTCCACGACACCTGACTCTCCGCCACTGTGATGGGCTTGGCCCTGTTGCTTGCTGAGGACAAGAGAACGTGGGCAAAGGTGGCATCGTGCAAATTCCAAGTCTAGATCTCTGGAGGCATCGTGTATTTCTGTTCACCCCTCTGGAAGTTTCCACCTTCCACCACATTAGAAGAGCATGGCCTAGGGAGCCGCAGCCCCTCCAGCCTGGCCCCACAAAGAGGCCCAGGGAGCAGAGCCCTCCCAGCTGACCTGCAGACCTGTGAGCATAAGGACAAATGCATATGGCTGTACACATTGAGTTTGGGGGTTGCTTGTTACACAGAAACAGCTCACTGATCTAAATGGAAAAGAGGCCCATAAGGGAAAGGTAAGAGTGACAGAAATATAACATCCGAGGAGGGTTATTGTTCTTAGGGATAAGACGAGTCTTTAAGAAGATATGCAGTGATTCTTCTGTGGAATAATGTTATATCCACTGATTCCCAAGACAGACCAAGGAGGAAGGCAGTGACGGTTTTATCCCCATTTTATAGATGCAGATATTAAGGCTGAAAGTGGTTGAAGGTGCACAGATGAGCCCGGTCTGGGCCCTAAATCCCTGACTCCGGGCCAGGCTCTTCCCGGGGCTGTGCTGCCTCTCATGCGGGCCCAACTCTGAGCACAGCCAACATGGCAACAGCTCGGCACTTTGGACAAGTGGGGCCACGGTTGGGACCTTCCTTCTGGCGGCTCAGGGAGGGATGGCAGGGACCGTGGCTGGGAGCTCCCCAGAGCAGAAGGGGCAGTGTTTTGATCAAGAGGGCGGAGGTGCCAACAGAGAGGTGTCTGTGTTCTCTGTGCTGAGAACTGGAGGGGCTGGTCACCTGCGGTGCGAGCCACAGCTGTGCCACCTGTGGGAGGCATCCTGTGTCCGGCCAAAAGCTGGACCAGTGGCTTCCCTCTAGGTTGCTCCCATTGAAAGGTCTGGCAAGCATGTGTCCAGGAAAGAAACCCCTGGGAGAAAGGGGTCCAGGCACCTGCGTTGAATATGCCGATGGTCTTGCCTTGATGGTTGGGCTCTGGATTTTGACATATTTGAAGCTGTACCAGCCTCAGGGATTGAAAACAGGCGAATCAGCGATCAAGCCTTTGCCAAAGGCTCCGCATGGTGGGGCTCCTGGCAGCTTGAGGGCCAGGCCATATGACCCCATCTTGCAACCTCCATATCAAGGGACACACGAGCTGATTAGCATTCGTGCCAACAGCCGGGCTGTCTGTCAGCGTGTTTTCATTACTTCAGGGCATTCTGCTCTTGCTGATTTTACCTCCTGAACTGCTTTGAATCTCCTCTGCATCCTCTTGCTTCACCGCCAGTTGGCCAGATCTGTAGCACTTTCCTTTGACCTTGGCCCCTCCTGACTACTGCCCTCAGGCCACTCCCTGACCTCCAGTCCTCCACAGCTCTGAACCCCGCTTCACACTGCAAGACCCTCCATCCAGGGAGGGACGTGGCCCTCCCACTCACGGGGCTCTCCTTGAAGACCACAGCCCCCTCCCAAATGGGGCAGAGCCCCCCTGGATGGGGTGGTGGGCTGAACACCCATGTCCTAACCCCCAGAACCATGAATGTGAACTTATATGGCAAAAGTGGACAGTGCAGATGTGATTGAGGATCTTGAGATGGGGAGAGGACCTTAAATTCAATCACCTGTATCTTTATAAGAGGGCGGTAGAGGGAGCATTGACACGGAAAAGGCAACATGATGATGGAGGCAGAGACTGGAGTGATGCGGACACAAGTCAAGGAACACCAGGAGCCTCCAGAAGCTGAAGCAGCAGGAAGGACCCTCCCCTGGAGTCTCCGGAGGGAGCGCGGCCCTGTGACACCATGATCTCAGCTCAGTGAAATACATTTCAGCCTCTGGCCTCTAAAACTGTTAGAGAATAAATCTCTGTCATTTTAAGTCACCAAGTGTGTGGTGACTTGTTACAGCAGCCTCAGGAAACGAATACAAATGGGAAAGTCAAGGATTCCAAAAGAAATGACTGGACCCAAGGCCTGACACGGATCAGGTCAGGCGCAGATATTATCAGGTGCTCTTTCTACAGTAGTGAGAACCTGTGTCTGTTGACATGAACACATGCCAGCCACTCCCATGTGGGAATGCATTGACATTGTTCCACGTCCTCCAGGTGATGCCCTGGGAAAGGTCACAACTGCCTGAACCTTTAAAGCTGCAGGCGGGACAGGCATTCTGTGTGCAGGGATCTGGAGCAAAGCAGCTCTGTGTGGGCCTCCGCCACGTTCTTAATAGAATCCTCTTCATAGATTGCTTTTTCTTCTTAAAGCAGCACAAAGAGAAAACTGCTATCAGAGAATATCAATTCCTGATTCTTGGCAGAACTCCTGTTATCTGTGGAAGTCACACTTCAGGTGAGTGTCTGGTGACCGAAGGGCTGTGTGATGTGTGGCCTGTGGAGAGCAGGCACAAGGCCCAGAGAACCCACAGGGTCCCTCTGGGTGACTAGCCATGCTGGGAAGAGCCTGGCCAGTCCTGGCTGGGTGGGTGCCTGGAGCAGCGGGACAGTGACAGTGAGCTGGTGTCCCACTAACAGCGCACCAGGGGCCTCTACAGGCTGGCGACCCTCCCAGGGACTCGTCTGGCAGGTGGAGGAGTGAGAAGCCCTCAGGGTCCTTGGTGCCAGTGTCTGGCTCTCGGGACAATGGTGAGAGGGCTGAGGCTCGCCCTGGCCTGCTCAGTACAGCCCACGATGAGAGGATTTACTCGGCCTGGGGTCCACCAGCTCTGCCCAGCTGGACAGTGGGGGAGGAGAGAGCACTGTCTCTGCTACCTCCAGACCCACACGCGAACATCATTCCTGCTCCAGAATGAGGGGTGCCAGGCTTACGGGGGCGCTGCTCGCCCTGGCCGGCCTGCTGCAGGTGGCCCTGTCCCTGAGAATAGCAGCCTTCAACATCCGGACTTTCGGGGAAACCAAGATGTCCAATGACACCCTCTCCAACTACATCGTGCAGGTAAATCCAGGCTGGCCTGTCCCTAAGGAATCCTGGGGCGGGGGGTGAGGGGGACTGTCACAGGCCCTGGGAACACTGCGCCAGTGGTTAGTCCTAGGCCAGTGGTCAGTGGACTACGGGGGTGTCAAGAGCCTCTGGTCTCAGCCCACTAGTTAGGCGGGACAGGGCTCTTGTCACTGCCATGCCATCCACAGCTGGCAGCAGAGTCCCAGCGGAAAGCATCAGGCTGCAGGCCAAACCATGACATGAAAGCACCCCAGGGCGCAGCAGCTGGGCCCCTGCAGGGACCTGGAGCAGGCAGGGCCCCAACACCCCAGTATCCACCCAGCCTGCCCCAGCTCAGCACTGCTGTGTCCCCTCCCCCAGATCCTGAATCGCTATGACATTGCCCTCATCCAGGAGGTCAGAGACAGCCACCTGACAGCTGTGGGGAAGCTGCTGGACAGACTCAATCAGTGGGTGACAGCGGTGGGGTCGTGGGGAGGTGACCCCTTCCATGGTATGGCACCACTTCAGCCAGGCCCTAGGAGGGTCCCCTTTTGGGTCCCCTAAACTGGGATGTTTCCTCAATCCAGGGATGACCCGAACACCTATCACTTTGTGGTCAGTGAGCCGCTGGGACGCAACAACTACAAGGAGCGCTACCTCTTCGTGTTCAGGTGAAGCCCCAGGCACCAGGAGGTGCGGCCCACCTCCTCAGAGGGCACCGACTGAAGGCGGAGGGTGCTCTAGAGAGCCCCTCTCCTCCAGGTGTGGGGGCAACAGTCTGTCCTTTGGGGCAAGAACTGGAGGCCACAGAGCAGGGTCCGAGTTGGGCCACCCCTCAGGTGCCTGCTGCGCCCCAAGGCCTCACAGCCTGTGCAGAGGCAGAAGGACCCGGGTGGGAGCTCCGGGTCCCTGCCCACCCAGACACAGCAGCAGGTGGCTTTAGTGAGACAGGCGGCGTCCCCAGTCCCAAGGTAAGCACCCTCCGGCCTGGCCTTCCACAGACCTGACCAGGTGTCCCTGCTGGACAGCTACCAGTATAACGATGGCTGCGAGCCCTGCGGGAATGACACCTTCAGCCGAGAGCCGGCCATTGTCAAATTCTCCTCCCCGTTCACCCGTGAGTGCTGCCGCTTCAGTGGTTCCTCTGCCCTACACAGCTGAGGGGACCTACCTGTCCCTTCCTAAGACAGCTTGAAAGCCAATGTTACATGCTGCCCTCCCAGCCCCAGTGCTTTGGACTTACATTGAACTCACTTAGGAAAACATCCACTCCCTCAGGGACTGTCTCATGTGTCCTCATCCCAGCCCTGAACGCAGGACTGAGCCTGGCCCCATGTGCCTTGGGACCAGGCCTGCCCACTGTCCCCCAGTGGGGCTAGCATGACCACCATCTCCACAGAGGTCAAGGAGTTTGCCATTGTTCCCCTGCATGCGGCCCCGTCGGATGCACTGGCTGAGATAGACTCTCTCTACGATGTCTACCTGGATGTCCAGCAGAAATGGGACATGGAGGTGAGGCCCGCCCCTGGTACTTGGCTCTGGAGGCCCCATCCTGTCCCTGGGCCAACTGGCTGGCGTCTCCCGGCAGGACATCATGTTGATGGGCGATTTCAATGCTGGCTGCAGCTATGTGACCTCTTCGCAATGGCCATCCATCCGCCTGCGCAGAAACCCAGCCTTCTGGTGGCTGATTCCTGACATTGCTGACACCACAGTGAAATCCACACATTGCGCCTATGACAGGTCAGCGGGACCTGGGCCTGTCACCACAGCCCCCTGGGTGGGCTCTGCAGGCTCAGGGCAGGGACGAGAGCGCCTCCACCAGCAGCCTTCACTTCTAGGTGCAGCTTCAGAAACGGTTCTCAAGGCCTCTGACACACACTCCTGAGCTTGAGTCAATCCACTGAGGAGATGGAATAAAGGGCGCATTTCTTAGTTTTGGGAAAAGCACACTTAGGGATAAGATGATGCTAGCTTTTCTCCTCTGCGTAGTCTCAGGCATACAGGTCAGTGTGCGCAGTCTGAGCACACCGAGACCTGAGTCTGACCAGGTACAAGGCTGGCCCCAGGGGGCTCCGTCCCTGGGCACCCAAGGGCTGCACAAGAACTGACAGAGACAGGAGCCGGCTCCCGCGGGTTTCTCGCTTGGAGCTGCCGCCAGGAAGGTGAGATGCCCAAGCGCCTGGTGTGGGTGAGGGCTGAGCTGGGCCCGACTGGCTCCACGGGCACAATGGAAGGATGTGACATTTACCAGACCAAGAGATGAGGTGGGGACCGTGCTGGCATCTGAGGTTTAACTGCACGGAGCCGGAGAGTGGGCTAAAGGGGACCTCCTCTTGCATCCGGTGCTGCAGGATTGTGGTTGCCGGAACTCTGCTCCAAGAAGCCGTTGTTCCCGACTCGGCCGTTCCCTTTGACTTCCAAGCTGCATACGGCCTGAATGACCAGACTGTAAGTGTCCCTCCTGTTTGTGGTGTGGCTCTAACGGGGGCCTGGGATGCAGAAGCATAGTGAGATCTAGACCCATGTGACTTCTAGCAATCGCTGCTTTTCTCATTGACTCAAAAGAGCCACTTGTCTCGGCCCTGGGGCCTCTTGGTCTCCTCTTCCCAGGCAGATGTGACAGAAAAAAGTACCTGGGTCCAAATCCTGACCTGGCCCTCGAGGAGTACTGTTTGCAGAGTACACCACACTGGGCATCCCTGTGCTCACCACACATTTCCCCCCAGGCCGAAGCCATCAGCGACCACTACCCAGTGGAGGTGACGCTAATGTGAGCAGGGTCCCTGGCTGGAGGCCTCTGCAGCTCGCCTGTCGCTGCTCCTGGGGACCTGCACAAGAACTGAGAGAGATGGTTGATCCTGCTGTCACATTCAAGTGCTGGGGACAGAGTTTAGGAAACCAGTGCCGAGTTCCCTGAGCACAGTGCAGCACCATCTCCCTACTGTCCCCACCCAACCACCACGGCAGCTGGAGTTTGAGGAGGGCTTCTTCTCACTGTCCCTGCTTCCACCCGAGCATAGCATTGTGTCACCAGAGCACTCCACCTTCTCAGAGTCTGGACAAAAAGTATCACCCTTAGCTTAAGAAACACCTTTTAATTTAAGTAAATAAAGCTCGAAAGGGGGTGCTGGCATCATTGGCATCAGTCCTTCCTTCTCTGGCTGGTCTCAGGCTGTCTCAGCCCACGGCAGTGGTGCTCGGTTCTATTCACCATCTCCACTGGGGCCCTAACACCACAGGGAAGACCTGGGGCTTTCACGGCTGTTGTGCTGCACACCAGGACCTGGCCCCTCAGCTGTCAATGTCGCTCCAGAGCCTTGACGAGCAGGTTGTTCAGGCGGCTCACCATGGCCCTGGGGTCATCAACAAGCCCAGCTGCGATCATGGCGTTCTCATAGATCTGAAAGGCCGGGCGGGAACCTCGTTAGTGGGGGGAAGGCCCTGTCCCAGCTCCAACTCAGGGACCCAGAATTGCAGAGAAAAGAAGGGAGGAGAGAGCTGTTCCTTTCTAAAACAGGATTTTAGAAGAAACTGAGCTGTCCCGCCGCAAAGGGAAATGCAGGCTCACAGACGGGCAGCCCAGCACCTCAGTTCTCTTTGCCTCCGAGACACTCACCTGATCGACGAGCAGCTGGGCCAGGTCAGGCTCATGCTCTCTCAGCTGACTGAGCTTCTTGATCAACGTGTGCCTGCGACAGAGAAACCAGCAGCAGTTAGCTCAGGGCTCGGGGCCGCACGCCAGCATGAGGGCCTCTAACTTCGTGTTCCAGTGACTTTTCTGAGATGGTGGGGTTACCAGAACATTTAAAAAAGTGTAACAGGACGGTCCCGTATAAAAACATACGGCACATAAAAATGAGAAAGGAGATGTAAATGCTCCTTTACAGATCATGTGATTATTACCCAGAAACCCAAGAGAATCAGTCAGGGGTTTTGGTATTAGAAAATGTATTCAGGGCTGGCCCTGTGGCCGAATGGTTAAGTTCGCGTGCTCCGCTTCGGTGGCCCAGGGTTTCGCCAGTTTGGATCCTGGGCACGGACACGGCACCACTCATCAGGCCATGTTGAGGTGGCGTCCCACATGCCACAACTAGAAGGACCCACAACCAAAAATACACAACCATGTACTGGGGGGCTTTGGGGAGAAAAAGCAGGGGAAAAAAAAAAGATTAGCAACAGTTGTTGGCTCAGGTGCCAATCTTTAAAAAAATAAATAAATAAATAAAATGTATTAAGTACCAAAATTAATATAAACTACACACAACAAAGGGAAAGAAAGAAGATTTTAAGGTATAAAAAGGCATAGTTGGTTCCTGGATAAGCAAACCATAAAGAAAGGTGAACCTTTCCCTAAATTAATCCACACATTTAGTATGTTTCCTTTATATCAATACATTATATTAAAAGATTTCTTTTAATTTACAAAGAAAAGTAAACATGGAAAAACAGCCAGGAGAAGTTAAGGAAGGAAGTCCCAGATGTTAAGACATGTGATAAAGTGCCAATAATTGAACAGTTTAGTTATAGAAAATGAAATGGCAACAGCTCAGCGCAACCGAGTGGACAAACAGCCCCACTGTACAGATTTGGGAAGTTCGTTAGCACCTGACAAAGACAGCCTCACACGAGAGCAGAAGAGACAGGATAACTGGCCAGTCAATGAGAAAACAAGTTGGATACCTACCTGATTCCTTAGACTAAATAAATTCCAGAGGGATCAAAGATTAAAGAGCACAAAATTATAATACTAGAAGGAAACAGGGAAGAAATGTTTTATAATCTCAGAAGGAGAAAGCCTTTCCAAGCAAAATGTAAACCCAGGGGTCAGAGAGAAAAGAATGACAACTCTGATGAGAGAAATTGAAATTTTTTCTGCATAGGAAAAGAATGCCATGGATAGAGTGTCTAACGTTACTTGTAATAAGAGATATACATCAAAATCATATGATAATTTTTTGCTTATGAGAATGGCAAAAATTGAGAAGTTTGGGAAATGTAAATTTGCCTGTTATAGAAGACAATTGGAGTCTATAAAAATTAAACATGGACGACGCTCTGAGACTTAGCAACTCCCTTTCCTCATGGCACTGTTTATAATAAGAAACTTTCAAAAAGCAAGATGAGGAAGGCTGCAGAGCAAGTCACCACTTGTATAACAGAGGGGAAGCCCCAGATGGATTTGCACACACACACACACACCCGCCAGCATCTCTGGAAAGATACAGAAGGAACCTAACGCGGGCTGCACTGAGGACAAAGAAAGGAGGGAACTTTCACTATAAACTCCTTTGGTTGTTTTGAATTCTGGGCCATGTGAGCATATTAACTAATTTTAAAGGGAAATAACATTTAAAAAGTAAAGTCTTTTGGCAATAGAAATGAGCACTTCCATGCAGTTATCTTATAAAATTACTTTTGTGCCAGAACTAGTTAAAGTGACTGGGCATCCAGTCAGCATCAGCATCCGACTCCGGCAGGGACCCACAGCTGGAAGCCACATACCTGCCCGGGGCTGGAAGCACACAGGTTATGCAAGCTGGTCCAGCTCTTCTGGAAAGGGGGCTGACGCCGTGCACCACTAGCCATAAGCCAATTCAGATTTTTCACCCAGTAATTTCATGTCTAGTAATTTGGCCCAGAAAAGGGAAAAGGAACCTCCCTCACTCCCCAGTAGTTTATAATAACGAAAATTTATGGTTATAAAGCAACATGGAAAAATACTTATCATAAAGTAATGAATGAAAAAATTAGACATGTACTATTAAAAAAACCCAAAACCACAAAAACGTAAGAAAAAAGTCCAAAAGAAAATATACCAACAGGCTATAGTGATTGGGGAATGAGACTACGGATTTTGTTTTTAACATTTTTGGTAACTTGTTTATGTAATTTCATTTTAAAAATTATTGCTGTACACAAAATCCATTTTCAAAAACAACTGTCTTCAACAGTTACAAAATCAAAGTTCAAGATATCCAATAAACAGTGCTAACTTCAGCTGCACATATACTAAAATATCCAATAAATAAAGCACATTAAAGAACAACTCTATAGGGGGCCGGCCCCGTGGCCGAGTCATTAAGTTCTCGCGCTCCGCTTTGGCAGCCCAGGGTTTTGCCAGTTCGGATCCTGGGCGCGGACATGGCACCGCTCGTCAGGCCACGCTAAGGCAGCGTCCCACACGCCACAACTGGAAGGACCTGCAACTAAGATATACAACTATGTACTGAGGGGATTTGGGGAGAAAAAGTAGAAAAAAACAAAAAAGATTGGCAACAGCTGTTAGCTCAGGTGCCAATCTTTTTTTCTTTAATTTTTTATTGAGTTAACGATAGGTTACAATCTTGTGAAATTTCAGTTGTACATTATTGTTTTGTCAGTTGTGTTGTAGGTGCACCCCTTCACCCTTTGTGCCCACCCCACACCCCTCCTTTCCCCTGGTAGCCACTAATCTGTTCTCTTTGTCCACATGTTTAAATTCCTCATATGAATGGAGTCATACAGAGATTGTCCTTCTCTACCTGGCTTATTTCACTTAACATAATTCCCTCAAAGTCCATCCATGTTGTTGCAAATGGAACGATGTTGTTCTTTTTTACGGCTGAGTAGTATTCCATTGTATATATATACCACACCTTTTTTATCCAATCATCTGTTGATGGGCACTTAGGTTGCTTCCATGTCTTGGCTATTGTAAATAATGCTGCAATGAACATTGGGGTGCATGGGACTTTTGGAATTGCTGACTTCAAGCTCGTTGGATAGATACCCAGTAGTGGGATAGCTGGATTGCATGGTAGTTCTATTTTTAATTTTTTGAGGAATCTCCATACTGTTTTCCATAGTGGCTGCACCAATTTGCATTCCCACCAGCAGTGTATGAGGGTTCCTTTTTCTCCACATTTGTTACTATTTGTTTTAGTTATTTTTGTCATTCTAATGGGTGTAAGGTGATATCTTAGTGTAGTTTTGATTTGCATTTCCCTGATGATCAGCGATGATGAGCATCTTTTCATGTGCCTATTGGCCATCCATATATCTTCTTTGGAGAAATGTCTGTTCATGTCTCCTGCCCAGGTGCCAATCTTTTAAAAAAAAAGAATAACTCTATAAAAAATGTAAAAGAAGTTTACAAAAAACATAAGTTACAAAAAGATATTAAATAAGACCTTGGGCGAGCCCAGTGGTGCAGCGGTTAAGTTCTCATGTTCTGCTTTGGTGGCCTGGGGTTCACCGGTTTGGATCCCGGGTGCGGACATGGCACCGCTTGTCCAAGCCGTGCTGTGGCAGGCATCCCACATATAAAGTAGAGGAAGATGTGCACGGATGTTAGCTCAGGGCCAGTCTTCCTCAGCAAAAAAAAGAGGACAGGCAGATGTTACCTCAGGACTAATTTTCCTCAAAAATAAATACATAAATAAGAACTAAATAAATGGAGAGAGAGATTATGTTCATGGATGGAAAGAACTGATAATATCAAGATGCCAATTCATTCTAAATTGATTTAGAGAATCAATGCAATCTCAATCAAACGCCCAAGAGTTTGTGTGTATGTGCACGTGTGGAACTCGTCAGACTAATTTAAAACTTCTACATACAAGTGAGGACCTAGAAGAGCCAGGACACTCTTGAAGGAGAATAAGGGAAAACTCACCTTTCGAATATGAAGACTTGTGAGAAAGCTGAATGGTTAAGACAGTGGCAGTACTGGCACAGACAGACACACCAACAGAACAGACATGCGTACATGGACTCCTGATACTTGACGACAGAGAAGGCCTCATGAATCGGCCAGGAGCAGACAGGCTGATGCAATCCCCGGTGTGGGGTGATTAGGCGTTCACATGGAGTAGGATGAAAGTGGACCTCTCCACCTTGTCTCCCTCAGACAAACTAATTAGAGATGGGCTAAAACCCAACTTTAGATGGGGCTAAAAGGTCAAAATTATAACACTTTTAGAAGGAAACAGAGGAGAACAAATTCATGACTCTGGTGAGAAAGATTTCTTAAATAAGACCCAGAAAAGCATCGAACAAAGATTTATAAATTTGATTATATTAAAATTAAGAATTTCTCATCAAAAGGCATCTTAAAGCAGGTGAAAAGACAGAGTGAGAAGAGATATTTGCAAC